TCCCAAAGACTAACCCCCAATATAAAGGGGGAGATTCCCTTGTATCACAGAAGTGGGGATAAACCCCTTGATCCCACAACCCTGGTCCCAGCTGCTTTTAAGACTTGAAGAGGTTCAAGTGTTTCAAATTCGTTTGAGCACAGAACGGGGCACAAAAATTATCGAATCCAAACTTCATGAATTGAATCTTAGAGATTGTCATATGAGTCGCAATCAAAACCTGGTACTAAAATGGTGAACCCAGAACCATGCTTCAAGAATTAGAAAGGCGGATATCCACAGCTATTTATGGCAAGGGGATCGTCCTTTACTAACCTTCATCTACCCGAATCGGTTTTGATTGTGGCTCATATGAATCGAGCGCAGAACGGGGCTGTCTTGACTCACCCTCCTATTGGGAGCCATGAACTGGGAGCCGCAAAAAACCCCGGCCCCCTTGCCTGAGCTGCACCCCAGAAAGAAGCTGCGGCATGGCCTCAAACGTGATGTTTCATTCACTCCTTCCCCCTAAAAAAAAAAAAAAAAACTCCCCCCCAACAAAAAAGAAAAAGAAACAAGGAAATTTCAGGACCCCCTAAAGGGCCGTCCGGGGAAAAACAACTCGGTGTTGTTTTGTTTGTCTTGTTTTGTTCTTTCTTTTTTCTCACGCGGCGGTCGGGAAAAACCCGAGGCGCCAGAGTTGAGTCCACCAACTCCTCGAAGGCGTTGAGAAAGAGCCGGAAGACCTGCTCAAGAGATACGTTTCAGGCGGCTGAAATGCGTGTCTCATTTTGTCAGGGTACCCCCTTTTTTGTGGTTTTAAGAAGGAAATCAAAAGGAAAACCAAAATCCACTTCGAGGGGTGCCCTCAAAAAAGAGATGCCACATTTATGGGCGAAGTGCTGACATGATTCTCCCATGATCTGATAATTCGGTTCAGACGTACCCCACAACCCCGTCCTTCAATGTTGGCAAACAGCTGGTTTTAGGTATCTTAATATGTGCTCAGGAAGAGTTGGGTTCATTACAATTCTCCAAACAACCTCATAGTGACCCCAAAACTATCAGCAACCTTCCCCTTTCTTCAGACCTCCCCCAAAAAACGAACCCAGCCAAAAAAACAGCCACAGAAAGCAATGTGGTGAATCCCACTTTGGTTCCCGTTTGGTTCGCCTTCCAACAAAAGGGGCCTGAGACCCCAAAACCCGAAACCACCGACACAACCGCCTCCTGGAACCGGCTGTTGCACACCACCACGAAGGGCAGCTGCAGATAATCGCCCAAGCGGTGCGCCAGCCTCACCGGCATCTCCTCCTGGATCCACCGCGCGTGCTGCACGTGCTGCTCCTCTGACCTTAAAAAGAAGAACAGCCATGGGTCTAGGGGTACCTTCCATTTCCATTCTTTCCAAAGATCCTTCTTTCCACACAACCTCCAGAAACCCGAAAAGAACGATGATTGAAAAGAATGGTTAAAAGGAATCAACCCCTGGAACGGGCCGTGTCTTTGGCTCCCTCCAGCACAAAAAACACTCACCTTGGGCCAAGAAGGCGATGTTTAAAGCCACCAAGGGAAATATGGGACTCCTGTGTCCTCCGTTTTCAGATCCGCCAAAAGTTCAAATAACTGTTAGTGGGTCAAACGGAAACCCAACCACTAAAATGGTCAAAGCCCAACAAAATGGCTGGGAACCACCAAGCCATGTTTTAGGCATTTTTCCATTTGTGGTTTAGATTTTACCGGGAAGCGGAAGGAGCGCCGAAGCCGTTTTGGCGGGTCCAAATCCCGAAGAAGAAAAAAAAAGCGGGCACACACCGTGAGCGTGGCCAACCGCTCGCTGCTCCGAAGCTTTTTGGCCAGTTGAACCAACTTGGCGAACGGTTCAAACGGAACCCGGATGCGGCTTCCGCTTGCCGCCTGCCGCAGGAAACCGCCCGAGGAGATTGGTTCGGTTTCTGGGAGCTTGAAGGACACCAACATGGGTCATTCCATTCCCACAAAGCCACGGGGGAGAAGGGCGGGGAACCACACGGGTCCCACCCACCCCGATGATGGAAGGAAACCCCGAGTGAGGTCCTATCTGAAGGTGCAATCCGGGGTCCCGTGAACTGATTTCTTTGTGGTTCCCGTTTGAAACCATCCAAAAAGGGACTACCCAAAGGCGGCCTCTTGATTTGTGGGTCCATGTACGTATGGGTTTCCCCACCCCAAAACTCAGGGGTTCTCTGAACAACCCGTAAATTTCTTTGCGGGGTTGTGGGGTCCCCTGATATTCGCAAGCCCTAAAACAAATTAGAATGAGGTTTCTGGGCAAACATATGCCCCCTTTTTGGACCCTGGTGCCGCCCCAAAGTTGCCGCCGCTGGCAAATTAGGGGATGCCACAAAGACAAAGGGGCATCCCCCAAATTTCCACCCCCCCCCCCCCCCCTCGTCGTCTGAAGTTTGAAGAAGACCCAGAATCAAACATCTAGAAGTACTGGAAGCTTCAACCACATTTACAAATGCTTGCAACATCTGCATTTCTTGTCCTGCAAGTAGAATTTTCCGCCTGCCCCCCCCCCCCCCTCAAATTCTCCATACAAACCACCCTTCTTGCCATTTCTGCAAGAGGTGTAGAATTCACCACCACCGCCACCACCACCACCACCACCCCGCCCTTCCCCTGACCTCCCCCACCCCGTCCGCCCCGCCACCCCTGAAATAAAGCCCCACCAAGGCGCACGTGGGCGGAGCGCTCCAGCAGCTGCCGGATGGCCACCCGCTCGATGGGCCGCGCGCTGAGGCGCTGGATCAGCCGCAGGGACGCCGGCAGCATGGCGGGCGTTCGCGGCGTCCGCGGAGCGGGGCTTCGGCGACGAAGCTTGAAACAAGAGGACGAGGCTGACAGCCCAAAAACCTATCTACATGTAGGTGTGGCTCCAAATTAAACAACCAGGGGACCGCAAATGTTAGTTCATATTTCCGTTTGCCAGAGTTGAATTTTGGGTACCCATGTTTGACCCACAGCCATGTGGGTGTGGCTCAAAATGAAAGAGCTAGGCGTGTTTTAGTCTTTGGTTCCATTTGCCAAGGTTCCGTTTGGGTACATTTATGGCAAAAGTTGGCGTTGAGTTGGACCAAGTCTATCCTTTACGGAGTGCACGTTCATTTAGGCAGATAGTACTAAGCCATATCTGGACTCCAGAGACCGCTCTTTGAGGTGTTTACCACAGAAAACCTCAGGTGCTCAAATTGCGCCTGGAAACAGCAGGTTGACCTCGCCCAAGCGGGCTACGATGTGTCAAACTGACTGACTATCCACCTGGTTGTGGTCTGAGAGAGTCACCCTTCCCGTCCTGACGGCTGAAAACAAAGCTCACTATTTCTTGGGTTGTTACAGGAAAAAGACACCAACCTCATTGACTGTTCCATGTGCCATTTGAGACAAACCCATCGGGTTTGCCCCTGAGCGATCTCTTTGGAAAGCTGCCAGCCGACGCAGTTGCGACGCGGTCGGAAACGGAGCCCAGAACCAACTCGAGCGCCCGAAACACCAGTGACGTCCCTTCTCCCCGCTTCAAAAGCCCTCCTTTCAGGCTACCCTCAAGAAATATGGTGGGCTCTAGTGACACCTGTCTGACAAGTTGCTTTCAAGATGGCCATAAAAGTCTGGTCATCGACCGTATTTCAAGCAGGTCGCAGAACATCCTAACCTGGCCAATGCTGCTTGCTAGCTATCGTTTTGCTGAGAAGTAGGAAAACACAAGTTGGCTGTGTTGATGCTTCTAGGAAGTAGCCCCTGGATTTTCCTAGCCCCTACTTGACTAGGAAGGATTCTTCGTCGAAGGCTGAGCATTGTTGCGGAGGGCTGGCAATTGGATCGAAAGGCGATTGGATGGCGTCGCATGCTTCCCCTGATTCGGGGTGCAGTTGCCCCCAAAACCCCAGTGACCTGGGCAAAAGCAGGAAACCCCATTTGGGGGTAACCATGTTGGGTTCCGAACCCAAACGAAAAAGGATTTTGGGCCAGTCCCCCCTCCTGTCCTGAGCCAACCGTACACCCAATATCGTGTTGCTGTCAGGCTTTGGGGGTTCAATGTCACCCAAAAGCTGAGCCGTGCATCATGCCGCCTCCTTTTTTGACTTTTTGGCGTTTTGTCTTTAATCAAATTGCTACCTAGTTTGTTCATTGGAATCCGCCGAGACAAAATCGGAGTGTGTGCTTTTTAATGCTAGTTGTTCAATGGGTCTTCAAACCTGGGGGATCTGATTGTGTTTGTTTCAAGGTTAGTTGCTCAATGGATTTGGCAAAAATCATGTGTGGGAAATTCGGGCGCCAAGATTCCCAATGTCCTCTTCCAAAAAGGTTTCGCAACCAAAGGCGCCAGCATTTCCCCCAAGGTGCTTCACTTCCCGTTGTTTAGCCCCAATTAAGCTGTTAAAGCATTCCTCCGACTGGAAAAAACATGAAGTCATCCGGCATTGGTAAACCGTGGTTGAATCCCATGCAAAAGGGCCCGTACATTCATCAAGGGTCGGATATTTGAAGACGATCCAAAAAGGGGGAATCCCAGACTGTAGTTGAGGCGATACTCAATATATGTATCTAATGATATATATATATATATATAAATAACACCTGGGCTCCAGCAAATCAAAACACGAAACATCCCTTTTGACTTTCATCCCCTGCTAAGAGTCAAACATGTCATTGGATACGCACCACAAGTCCAAGTCCAAGTTGGTATGGCTGGGAATCGCCAGGACTTGTGAGCATACAACTGGCTGGTGCGATCGGTAGGGGTCCCTCGTTTGGAATGAACCCTTTTTCTCAACCAAAGCTTGCATGCATGCCATTCTCCTTCCCTACCTACTGTGGATGGACGAAATCCATTTCGCACCACCGTTCAGAAACCCTGGAATGATTCGATTCCCCCGTAAATACCACCCAAGAATGGTTTCCCATGGTTTCAAAGTGGTGCGAAATGGATTTCGTCCATCCACAGTAGTGCAAGAAAAGTCCCAAGTCAGTCCCAAGGCCTCTTGCGACTCTTCAATCCCAGCAAGGCCTGGCGCGATGCCAGAAGTGGCTGGTTCTCAAGATTGGAATCGGAGCCCACAATGGGTGGCTTCCTTTTGGGTTCATTAGGATTCTTAACCGGTACTGAAGTTGATAGAATTGATTTATCTGAACAAACCGATCTGATAGATGTATTAGGTCGTGATTACCCTTCAAAACAACCCCCAAACAGGGAACCCTCGAAAAGAAATCGGCACGCAGAACTCTCCCTAGCAGCCCCTCCAGAATGCTGGCGGAACTGGTGCTGCCAAACAAGAAAGGCGGACCGACCCCCATGCCTCAAAAAAGGTCTCGCGCTCCATTTCCCCTGCCCCCTCCCTGTGGTTTTTGTTCGCTTAAAAACCTCCTTCTAGAAAATCCCGCTGACATCTGTGACAAAGCCGCGCATCGCTAGACAAATGTGTCTCACTTCAAAGCGGAGGGGTCAGGCGAATTTGGAGTTGCAAGGCACGGTCCTCTTCACACCCTGGAAATGGACATGGAAAAAATGGAGGGTCCCACCCCACCACCACCCCACCCCACCCCACCCCACCACCCCACCCCACCCACCACCCCCCCCACCCACCACCCCACCCACCCCACCCGCACCCCACCCCCACCCCACCCCCACCCAATCAGAAGTTTGCCCTGCCAAGATTCTTCCACCGACTACCTTTCCCGCCTCCAAACGTAGGCGTTCCACGGCTTGAGGCCGGACCTGCATCAGCTTTTCGAGCCGCAGAGGTTGTCCGGAAAGAGCTCCGGCTTCTGACCCCCTTGTGTTGCAGGTTGCGAGCACAAAACGTCAAGTTGAGCCCTGGAAAAGAGAAACAAGAGAAAACTAAGTGCCAATGGTCGATCAAACCCCGGTTCAGGTCAATATCTGATCTCTACCCGTCCACCAAAAGTGATCATTGGGAAGCCTCTACTCCGAGTACCCGCCTGCTTGAGGGCATGCTTCACCCCGGGCGAACAGGAAAAAGGGAGAGAAAAAGAAGCAAAGCCACCCACGTTACCATGGCAATCCCTGGCTCTTCCACCAAAACCCCAAACAAACAAAAAAAGGTTTGCCCATATACCCATATAAAAGGGTTTTCCCTGGCTCTTCCCCACATACCCCAACCAAAACCAAAAAAACCAAAACGGTTCGGGTAGCTTTTGAGCCCCCCCCCCCGCCCCCTGAAAGGGATCCGTTTCAGCCGAGGAGGCAGACAGCCCTCAGCCCGGAAAAAGGCTTCCCAAAAAATGTTGGGCGAGCCCTGAGCTTAAGCATGCCGGGTAAGCAAACGAGATGGGTCCCTGATCCCCTAATCAACAAGTGGAACCCCACCTTTTGCTTTAACTCTATTGCGTTCTTTCTAGGAACTCATGCTTTGCCCCCTTTTCAGCATGGTTAGAACTGTGTCAAAATGGTCTGATGTCGAGTGTTAGTTGCCCAGCTGGAGCGCCGCGCCCCAAAACAGTGAGCTGGCCTTTTGGTAGTGTCTGGGAAGCCAGATGCTTGGTTGCTGTTGACCCCCTTCAGAAGCTTAACTTTGTGTGGCTTTAGTGGCAAACCCTTGATTTCCCAAAAAGTTAAAGTCTAAAGATCCAACCCAATAGCAGTCAAGGATGGCCCAACCTATTCTGATATGCCCTTTCTGAACGCGCCTGAGGTCCATGCGCCTGAATCCAGGGTCCTCTTATCAGCCCCAACCCTGGTCTTGCAAGTTGTTCAGAGCAACCCTGCCTTGTGGCGCGGAAAACACATATTTCCAAGAGGACGATTCACACAGAACCCACAAAAGAAGGGGGTTCCGGGGTCTCATGGTTGGATACAAGCCTAAGTCCCCTGCATGATCTGCAAGTAATGTGCACCCCAGGTCAATCAACCCGAATTATTTCATAAGGGGGTCCCCCGGGTTTAGTGGCGAATGATACCTTTTGGAGGAGAACACCCCCCCTATTAAGAGGGTCAAGCATGGAAGTGGCTTCAAGAGAATGCGTTTCAGGAGCATGGTCTTCTAAAACCCTGCTGGCCATATCTATTCAGACTTTGGAGAGGGTGGAATACTCAACCTCCCTGCCATGCTTGCCTTTCGAGGCTTTCTCCTGCCTTCAGACGTTGAGCTCCGATCACACCATGCTCCATTCCTGGGCGGACAGACACATTCCCCAAAAGAGGATCCATACTGTGAACGGACGAAATCCCTCACCATGTAAGCAACCCTGGAATGACTCTCGATTCCCCGTGCATGCCAACAAACAATGGCTTCAACCAGGGCTTCGTTTCGTGGTGGGGTCTCGGATTTCGATTTCAACCATCCACAGTACTGTGGGTGGACGAAATCTTGCACCGCTTTGAAACCAAGGGAAACCATGGTTTGTTGCTATACAGGGAATCAAATCATTCCAGGGTTTCTGAACGGTGGTGCGAAATGGATTTCGCAACCCTCCACAGTATGACTTCTTCTTTTCCCCAAACTTCACAGGGAAACAGACCCCCAAAACCCCCAAACCATCCCGAAAAGCGCTCCTGACCACAGAAACACCAAAACAGGCGCTAAAAACACCCTACCCAACTTCACAGACTGCCTCAACCACCCGGACGGCCTTACAGCGGCTCAGGCCTCACGAAAGTGCATTGCTCAGGCCGACGCTCCGGCGAGGAAACTGGGGCGACCCTCCTCGGCGTCGAAAAGTCGCTTGAGTCGAACCCAAAATAGCTGGTTCCTGTTGGCTTCTCTTTAATCCAAACCCCGATTTTAGGGTTCCAAAATAGCGGTTTCCTTTTTGGCTTCTCTTTAAAACCACCCCGAAAAGGGTTTTCTGAACAAAAGGAGCCACACCCAATGTGTGGCAATGCATCCTGCTCTGTTCTCCTCAGCCTAGATCCAGGTGTGCCTCATGTGTGTCTACAATGTAAAGGAATTCGGACCGTGCTTTGACGACGCCAGAGTCACAAATCGAAACCTGGAATTGGAGAGGTCTACCCAAAACTCAAGGTGATGAATCAAAGGGGCGGAAAGCTTTCCGAATGGCGGGACTGTCCCCTGCTAACCTACCCGGGTGTTGATTGGACTCACTTGTGGTTCCTGGTTACGCTCCTGATTCCCAAAATGGAACCAAAAAGCTGCGGAGAAAAGTCTTGGGGGTAGGGTGACCTGGGCCATCAAACTACACTCCCCACTGGGAACTGGGAGAAGAAGAACTTTTCCAACACTCAAAATGGGAGCACAATTTTACGTGGCCTTGGGCAGCGGTTGCGAGTCAACCAAATCTTTGCTTCGAATCCCCATGAGTAGTTTGTTACCTTCCAGCAAATTCCCCACGAATTTGCTAACAGAAAGTGGTGTTGAATTGCTCAACTCCGATTTACACGTGATCAACGTTCAATTGATTAATTTTCAAAATGTCTCCGATGGCCAAAGTGGCCACCAACTGTGCCCATGTGGCATCCTCAACTAGCCTCTAAATGGATCATTGGCCTGTTTGTTGCCACATCCCCCCCCCCCAATAGGAACCGTGGCTATGCGTTATGTGGTCAGCACTGAATCACTGAACTGCAGCAAAACACGAATTGGGCCCAGGTGCTTGTCGCGCACATTCCAATGATCAACCACAACCCTAGTTGCCACATGAGTCAACCTTGCAGATAAAAATAGGTGTTCCCCAAAAAGTGAAGGATCCCCTCTAAAAGGAGGCATTCTCCAATTGATCAACCAGGAGTTGATTCATCCTACGCTCCTACAAAGGTCTACCGACAGTCCCCACAAACAGCATTTATTGTTCCCCAATGAGAAACATGTGTGGAACAGTGCACTAGCAACAGTCAGTTTCTCGGATAACGTTCATCAATCGCACTCCGGCCTCCTCGGAATAGCCGCCTCTATAGACTTGTCCAACTGCGACAGTGCGCACGAGTGGCAAGAAACAAACGAGCAGCGCCCAACGTATCCCAGCGTGGTAGATGTTTTCACGGCCCTCAGTATAATCCCATTGAAACCCGGCAGAACCACCAAATAACCCGGCGAATCTGACCCCCTGCGACCATGATAGGGCTCTGAAACCAAGAAAGTCCGGGTCCTCTCGCAAAAAACGCGTCTGTTGGAAAGGGATTCTGAGCACTTCCATTTTCTTGCTGCTCAGTAGGGAATGCGGGAATGAACCCGGGGATTCTCTTCAAGGAGACTGCAAGGGATGGTTTGCAAGGGTCATAGGGTCATTCCCTCATGCCCGCTGCGAACCAGCAAGTTTGAGCAGGGAGCATCGCCTTTGCGGGACCAAGAAAAGCGAATGGTGTCAATGGACTTTGACGCGCGGTCTAGCTTTGGACAATGACCTTCACTGCCAGGTCATGATCAACCTAACATGTTACCTTTCTGGAACCACAAAAAAGGTGTTCAGCCCCAAAGCGTCGCTAATCGTAGGTCTGTGCAGGTCAAACAAAACTTCGTTGGCCCGCAAATGGATCGATTTGAACCCTGCAAAAGGCTTTCGAAGCTCTTCGGCTTGAATGGAGAAACAGATATACGTTGAAGTGTTGAAAGGGTTCTTCGGGTCACACCAAAGGATCGGCCAAAAGAGACTGTTGGGCCCCTTTGGGTTTGCGTTCAAAGTCATATATGGGTGGCCCGTCCTTTTTTAGGGGACCCTCAAAATGGTATGCCTTTTGAGTTCCCGTTCAAACCACAACAAAGAAGGTGCCCTCAAAGAAAGACAGACCCATATGAATTCCGAGCCAGGGGAGCCACTGCAGCTTATTGTTTCTAGGGGCCTCAAGAAGGACCATAGACTTCCCACAACGCGTATTGGAAAGCCAAAACTGCTTAGACAGACTTTCATTAAAGCACATGGAGCATGTGGAAAATCAAAGGAAATGAAGTGCTTTTCACCCACTGGGAGTTTTGAAGCATATGGAAGACCGCAATGGCAGAACATCTGGTCAAAACTCCGAGCGGGTTGCGGGCATAGTTCCCAGAAAGGAAGCCTTATGCTTGAGAAATCCAAGGGGTCTGTGACCATCCCCAGCCCAATCAAGCCAAAACCCCATCTCTTTTGTAAGCTCCATGTCACGCCCCTCTTGGCAGCATGGGGTTCCCACCCCAAAACTCCGGGCTTTTCTGGAAAACCCAATTACAGAACCTCCAGTTGCTGTAAGTCCCCCAAACCCAAAAAAGCGGCCAGTAGTGATAGATTCCAGCGGAAAATCAACAAATAGTCGCAAGATGAAAGAAAATGAAGGGTCCAGTATACAGGCCTTTCGACGCCCGATGCCAGCGAGGCAAACACCAGAAAAACCCGCCTCCGCATCTTGAGGATTCATTGACGTCACCTGTCGCGCGCGGCTTGGAGAAGGGGGGGGGGGGCCGTTTGGCTTTTTTCAAACCGGACCCAACCAAACAGGCACATGGGGTGCAGTCAAGCAGGTCGGAAAAACCGGATCCCTCTTCCTGGAAGCCCGTCACTGTACCAGAACGAAGCTTCCAGGAGACAAAGGAAAATAAGTGGCTGGGTATCCCGTTGATCTGCAGGTGGTAGTGGAAACCATCTTAGATGCCTGGGCGAATCGGCCCCTTTTTAGGCCTGCATACCATATCCTGTCCAAAGGACTGTGCATTTGTTTGTAGTGGGTTGGTGTATAGGGGAACCACAAGGAATGAACAAGGATCCGATGTGTACTACCACTCCTTTATACGTAATCAGCTTAAGTGGTCACCGACCATATTTCGACTGGTTATTGATAGCATATATATATATATGCGATTGTTTACATAATTCGTCCTATGAGTGGGATATTCGCCTTGTTGCTACCCTCTCTGTCTGTAGCATGTTGATAGAATCTGAGAGAAGCAGCCGGGTGAAACGAAACCCCAGCCTGGGGCCTCACCCACTTGGGTTGCTGCCCAAAAAATGGTCAACCCCGGATTGTTGAAGACTGGTTTGCCAGTACCGGGACCACTTTTTGTGGGGATTCATCACGTTTGCAGAAACCCCCTCACCCCATTTTCAGGACGGGTTTCTTGATCCGGGGTCAACAATATTCATCAACCAAGCGTTTATTCATCCTCGGCCAAGTTAAAAGGGAAGGCGCCCATTTCGGGGTCTACCCCATTTTGAGGTCAACTCTTAGAGGCTCCGAACGGTCTCAACAAGTGGCCCTGAAACCCATGTTTGCCATGACGGCTGAATATCGTGTCAAGGGAATTTCCTTGGCGATCCTTTGCAAGGGGCTACCCCAAGCCAGCAAATGTCCACCATGTTCCCCGGTTCAGGCAAGGAGCTGCCAATCGCAGCAATCACTGCAAACATGTCTATATATATATATATCTATATGTACATATGTGTTTAATACATGTCCCCTTCAAGCCTCACACCACCAAAAGGCAAATCACTGTGAAAGTGACAATTAAAAAATAAAACGTAACTCATCCAAATGGGGTGAGGAAAAAGAGCCTTGCAGCAGTTTTTGGTCGTGGCGCGCCCAAACCTGGCACTCCTTTTCAGGTTTTCCCCGAGCCGAACTGCGAGGCTCGGAGTTCCAAGAGTCCCGGAAGGATGGAGCCGAATCACGCACGACCAAATGTCCCGAAAAAGCCAAGGCAAAAGCGGCAAGCACGTGTAGCCTTGAGGATATGTTGCCTCCGAGCCCGACACTCAGGGATCGGGGAAGGAACTGTCCATCGTCCACTTCCCTGATCGATCTGAATATGCATATATATATATATATATTGCCACAGTTGGAAAACCAACTGAACGAAGGAAAAAACCGGTACCAAAATGGAACCCTGGTAAGTGGAAACATGGACCAAAACCCGCGTAACCCCTCGTGTTTAATTTTGAGCTACAGCCATATGGAGAGCTCGGTTTACCTCTAGGTGAGCTCACCACATCCCATGTCCACCCAATCTACCAAATTCGCTTTCAGGTGGCAAAACATGAGCTGGTTCCCGGTTCTGACCACTCAACTAACTGCAGGCTATTTTCCTTCTTCGGCCAAAAGGGGCTATCCGTGCCCGGTGATTTCATCCGCAACTCAAACATCAGGGCTCCCCCTTCTTTTAAGGGTCTCACCCGGAAAAAGAACCTGCTCAAACCCCTCAGCTCTTCTTGAAGATGGTGTAGCCCACCCGCTTGCCCTTCTCGAACTTCTCGCGCCGCCCTTTCCGGGGCGACAGGTCCACCCGCAGCCCTCCTCCAACGGACCAGGCAATGGTGCGCTTCGTTCCCTCGTAGCCCTCCTTCTCCGTGTCGAAGAGCTTCACGCGCTCCTTCCTGTGCACCTGGATGCCAGTCTCTCCAACGCCAGGAAGAGGCACCTCGATCCACTCGTCCCGTGTCCCCTTAGGCGGATGGGACAGCATGACCACCGCGCTCTCCTCAAGGTCCTGAAAGAAGGCAGCGCCGCATGACCTCCAGCATGTTCTGATCCGAACCGCCCACAACCCGCCGCGAGATCATCTCCTCTCCATGCGTCCTAGGCCGCTTGTTTGCCGCCCCGTCAATGCCACCGCCACCACCTCCGGTAGATGCCGATGTCCCTGATCCAGCCGTTCCACCAGCTCCTGATCCAGCCGCCGAGGAATCCCCTCCCGAAGATCCCGAAGGCCTTGATCCCGATTCTCCACCTCCTCCGTTCCCATGAGGTTGTTGCCCCGGACCACTTGAACTCGAGCTCCTCACTCCGGCTTCGGGCCGCCTCAAGACCCTGAAGTTTGAAGACCCCGTCCATGGCGTCCTCCTTTCCCAGTGCTCTTCTTGCCAATTCTCGACCTCCCAGGTCATGCCGTTCTCATCGTCGGGAGCGATCTCGGAGATCCTGATGTAGTCCAGGTCCTCAAAGTTGATGCTGGGTGGAAGCTCTCTAGGCCTCGGAATGTAGTCCCAGTAGCGCGGCACCATGTGAATGCGGGAAAGTCTAATCTCATTCTCGCGGAACTCAACCTCCCATTCATCTTCACCAGGTTCATCCTGCGATGGCCTTTCTGTCACCTCCGGAGGACCATCTCCACCAACAGCTGGTGCGACCTTTCGCAGCCGCAACCCCTCACCCACATTCTCTAAGCCTTTCGCCTCCGGCTTCATCCAATTCATAGACGATCTCCCTGACGAAGCACCAGCCTTCTCGACCACCAACGATCTCACCGAAGGACCAACCTCCTCTTTCTGCTTCTTCACAGGCCCGTCTAACTCCTTCACCTCCTTGACCTTGGCCAGGAAAACCTTCTCCAGCACCAATTGCGCTAATTACCGCCTCCTCCGGCTCGATGACGTAGTCCTGGGGTCCATGGTTCCTGACCAAAATCCTCACCTCTCCACTGAAGTCGCGTTCAATGACCGCGGATCCAGTTTCAACTCCTCTCAAAGCCAAGCTGGCCACCGTTGTGATCCTCCCGCACGTTCCTTGGGGCAGCTGTGCCTTCACGCCCGTCCTCACCAGCGTGTAACTCTCCGCCGGCACCACCACTCTATTTACCGCGAAAAGGCTCACCCCGGCTGAGCTCTCCGTTGGCCTTTCCGCACCAAAGGTCCGCCAACTCCACCTCCTCCAGGAAGACCCAACAGATCACCGCCTCCCGGAGCCGAACGAGGCGCGTCCACCCCCGGCCCCCTCCCAGGACCACGGGGCGCATCCCGCAACTCCTTCATGGCCTTGCTTCCGCCGCCTTCACGCACCTGCTCCTTGAGGCTTTTCATCTCTTGCCAGAGCGCCTGGTTCTGCGTGATGACCTGCTTGAAGGCACCGAGGAGCTCATCAAGGCCACCCGCCGGGATCTCCGCGCTGTAGATCGAGCCCACTGGCAGCGCTCCCGGGCTTACCAGCGACCCTTGTTCCTCCTCCACCTCCGGCAGATCCTTTGGGCGAAGCGCCTTGAGCTGCGCCTCCTCCTTGGCCTTCTCAGACCAAAAAGGATTCACATCCACCGCCGGCCCCAGCGGCACCGCGTCCTCGCGGCTTGGCTGCCACGGCACCATCGCCGTCTCCGGCGAGTCAGCGGCCTGCGCCGACCCAGCCGAGGATGCCATGGCGTGCCCTTAGGAGGGCCTACAGGAAAAACGTTGGGCTCATAACCCACTCAACTAACTGCAGGCTATTGTCCTTCTTCGGCCAAAAAGGGGCTATCCGTGCCCGGTGATTTCATCCGCAACTCAAACATCAGGGCTGACAACCAACTGGCAACACTCCCACTTGATGTACCCAAAAGTTGCCCGCCCACTTCAGTGGATGGGTCAAAACTGAAATGGCCTTCCCAAAAACGTATCAAGTCTACCTATGCCAACAATTCTTGTTCAACCCGAATGGTTTGAGGTTCCCCAAGGTACAGGTTTTCCCCCCAGGTTCGCCATCCAGAGATCCCAGACTTGACATTGCCCATGCTGCTCACTTCGGTAGCTATTGACCGTTGCGCATCTACCTGGGCTAGGTGTTCCAGTAGAGAGGCCAGAAGGGTGCCCAATGTTTTTTTTCTTTTTTCTTTTTTTCTGGTAGTCTATTTCAGTAAGGACACCCTCCCCAAAAATGGTTAAAAGGGCACTGGGAGACCTAGTGGGTGATTAGAAACCTCCCATTTTGCAACCGTTTGCTCCTTGGTAAGTGGGAAAGTCATCCCCTGCTCCGCCCTCTCATCCCTCAAACCCAGCCAGCTACCCTTCTTACACCTCTCAGTCTCGTTGTCCCTGGCCTGCTCACCCAAAGGGCGCTCTCGCTTCGTGCGCAGTAGGCACACTTGCGAGACCTAGGCCGGATACAGCGAGCCACCCGATGTGTTAGCTTGGATCGGGGTCTTGAACCGTCGATTCAAAAGGAGCAACCCGTTTAAGGGGCCATCTTTCACTTTTTGCAGCCGCCCAGCAAAAAGGGGAGAGGTGCGTTGACGGCATCTCCAAGGTTTGAAAGTGCTCCCCATGGCCTCCCTATACTTATAGAATCTTATAGACATCACCACTAAAAGGAAACTCAATTCTATATACGGCCTAAAAGCTGAACTCCAAAACATCCAAACAGAGAAGTCAATCCAGAACTCTGACGAGGCCGGGGGATCACTTTGGTCGCAGTTTTTGGATCACTTTGGTCGCAGCTGAAATCCACTCACTTTGGTCGTAGTTTGAGCATTTGCGGATCACTTCTGTCGCAATTTTTGGATCACTTCAGGCGCAGTGGAAGATAGCTTTTTGAGCACTAACAACAGGACACACGCAAAGGGTGTTGCCTCTCAAACACCTAACAACAAGACATGCCGCGTGGGGTGGGGTCGACAAGGATGTTGCCTCTCAAACACCAAACAACAAGAACTGCCGGGTGGGGTGGGGTCGACAAGGATGTTGCCTCTCAAACACCTAACAGCAAGACATGCCGGGCGGGGTGGGGTCGACAAGGATGTTGCCTCTCAAACACCTAACAACAAGACATGCCGGGCGGGGTGGGGTCGACAAGGATGTTGCCTCTCAAACACCTAACAACAAGACATGCCGGGCGGGGTGGGGTCGACAAGGATGTTGCCTCTCAAACACCTAACAACAAGACATGCCGGGCGGGGTGAGGTCGACAAGGATGTTGCCTCTCAAACACCTAACAACAAGACATGCCGGGTGGGGTGGGGTCGACAAGGATGTTGCCTCTCAAACACCATAGTCAACGGCGAAGAAACTAGGACCGAAGCGAGTAAGGAAACTAGGACCAAAGCGAACCCGCGACCCTCTGACGAGGCCTTGACGGTTAAAAACCTCCGCTGGGACTGCGGGACAAAAAATGAATCTTTGGAGTGGCGTCCACTTTCAACGGCAAACAAAATCAAGCGATCTAAGAATCAAGCGATCTAAACATGTCGCCAACAATGCTGCAGCAAAACAAAAGCTGCCTCGAGATTTTTGCCTTTTTTTTCACGCTTGGTACTGCTTTTCCCTTTTGGGGGGGGTTCTTTTCAAAGAAAAACCAGACGTGTGATAAAAAAAAAAAAAAAGTAGTTGGCGCATCCCGAAAACTCGCGGTTTGGAACTTCGATCACTGCCTCAAGTCCAGCAAAAAGTTTGGCTCATTCGAATGGCTGATCAGGCGGCAAATCTGATCAAAAGCGGCTGGTGCACAAGCGAATCCCCGTGCAAATTTGTCACTCCCAAATGAGCGCGGGTGGTATCCCCAGCAACACCCGCAACCCTTCCGGGACCGCTCCAGACCTACCTATCTGGGCAGAGACCCCATAGCTTGCAGCTGTTGAATTAAAAAACGTCCAGTTGCGTAAGCCCCCTGGAAAAAAAAAATATTTTAAAAAAATCCAGCAGTGATAGATTTCCTTCAAATTAAAACCCAAAAAGGGGAGGAAAAACACATTTCAGCAAATCGAACAAAAAAATGGCTCCCCTGGTGAAGGACCTGCATGGTGAGCTTGTGGCTGTGGAACCGCTCCCCACCAATTGGGGATGGCCAGGTCGGACCAATCAACCTCCATGTTTGCAAAGATGGCTAGGGTCTGGATGTGTAAACAAATGTTGCAACAACAAAAAAGCTTTCTGGACATGACATAGCAAATTGTGCAACATACCCAGGGAATAGGTGATTTGTTGGACCTTCCACAGCCATGACCAGCCACAGCTATGACCCGCCATGCCCGCGGCGGGCGTGATGTGCAGGACGTGCACGCGCTGGCCAGGCACGCTCGCTCGTGGCAGGTGTCAAAATAAGGGGTGTTTGTTAGGGCCTCACCCCCGCCAAACAAAACAAAAACAATGCGGTGCTCCTTTTGGTTGTCCTTCAAAACCATAAAAGCAGAGCACCCTCAAAAGAAAGAGACACACCCGAATCCGCCGACCCCTTTGCAAAAGCCAAGTTAGTCTCTGCAAAGGGGCGAGGCGTGTTCTAAGTGGTGGTTAGGGGAGTCTGAGGGGGGGAGGGGGGGTCCCGCGGCGGATTTTTGACACGCCTAACCTCTAACTCTAACCTCTAACTCTAACCTCTAACCCTAACCTCTAACCCTAACCTCTAGCCCTAACCTCTAACCCTAACCTCTAACCCTAACCTCTAACCCTAACCTCTAACCCTAACCTCTAACCCTAACCTCTAACCCTAACCTCTAACCCTAAACCCTAACCTCTAACCCTAACCTCTAACCCTAACCTCTAACCCTAACCTCTAACCCTAACCTCTAACCTCTAACCCTAACCTCTAACCCTAACCTCTAACCCTAACCTCTAACCCTAACCTCTAACCCTAACCTCTAACCCTGATGATGACGAAGTCGATAATGATGATGATTGATAATGATGATGATGATGATGATGATGATGATGATGATGATGATGATGATGATGGATGATGGATGATGGATGATGGATGATGCATGATGGATGATGGATGATGGATGATGATGATGATGATGATGATGATGATGATGATGATGATGATGATGACGATGATGATGATGATGATGATGATGATGATGGTGATGACGATGATGATGATGGATGATGATGATGGTGATGATGATGATGGTGGTGGTGGTGGTGA